GAGACGCTGTTTGCTGACAGCTGACGGGCGAGAGGACGAGAAGCCGTTAAACTCAGTGAAGTGTAAGAAAATAGAAAGAAAGAGGAAAGAAATGAGGAGGATGAACAACCAGAGGTCGAGGCGGTAACTGACAGACTCGTCGGCTCAGTCTGTGTCTCTGCTCAGGGGCTCAGTCTCGTTTACTTCCTCGCCACGTTGTCTGTGTAACTACACGCTGTCAGATTGAGCTTTACCGCACAAATGAAAGACGCAGCGTTCACACATAAACAGGAAGTGTAACACGCGTGTGTGTGTTTTGCAGCACGGGACTCCTCCCCTGCTGATCGCAGCCGGCTGTGGAAACATTCAGATCATCGAGGTCCTGATGAGGAAAGGAGCCGAGATCCGGGCCCACGACAAGGTAAGAGCCGTGCATGAAGGAGCTGCAAGACACATAACAGCTGACCTTTGACCCTGCTGTGAACCAGGACAGCTTCAGATGCTAACAGCAAACTTTTTAAAAAAAATCAAATATCACAAAATCCATATTTCAGAGAACAAACCTGTTTCGATGTTGCATAATGAAGGTTCCCATGATTGTGAATGTTTGGGCCTGTGTAATGACAGAAATGGTCAAAACAAATATCAAACAGTCGAGTGATCAGAGCCGCTCCTCTTTGCTGATTGGCTGTTTGATCCGCAGTGCGTAATGCTGGGATGGACTTTGCTCTGATCGTCGGTTCGTCCTTGCTCTGCGTGCACTGATGCTGTCGTGGTGCCTCAGAGGTTTTCTATCATATCTTATAAACACATTTTAATTTGAAATAAGAAAACGTGTGAGATATCATCTTCTTCTTCTTCTTCTTCAGAAAAATCAGCAGCTAATGTAGACGTGAGGGTTGGGTTTAGCCCTGCGGGCAGAGCCCACACGTGACAGCTGACGTCGGTTTATTTCTTTGAAACTTATGAAGTTGCTTAAGATTGTTCAGAACCAACAAAGTGCATCAAACACAAAACTTGTGACACTGCTTAAACTCTTTGTCACAGCTGCATCTTCATCAGTGAAGCGTTAGAGACGAGGAAGACTTAAGCAGAGCCTGAAATCGTTTCCCGATAGCCGACAGATCCTGGAGGTTCTCTGTGAGCAGCTGAACATCTGCAGCAGCTTCATCGTGCAGTCACTCTGTGCTTACACCGAGCTGCAGGTCCGTCCTTGTTTTCCAAGATGTTACAAAATAAGAGACGTCTGGAGCTGCCGACCCACACCAGGGTCGACGTTACGTCTCTGAACTCTGGACGCAGCGATCTCGTTGTCTTTGATTTCAGTGCCACACATGAAATCAGATTAATGCTGCACAGACTGACCTACAGCATCAGGCTGCCATTAAATAAACGTTTCATCAGTGCAGCGAGTTCAGGAGATTCATATAGAGACGTTATGAATTTATAAAGAAATAATGGAAGAACGTGTTTTGATCTCAGACACGTTCCTCCAGTTAGAAACCACAGCTTCAACATCCGAGCACATCCTCAGAACGATCCCGTGTTGAAGGGCACGCCACAGTATTTTCCTATCGTGTGGCTGCAGACTCTTTACTAAAGGTCAGGGATAAATCCTGCAACGCTGTTCTCTCTCCAACCCTCAGAGCGGAGCCAACGCCATCTACTACGCGGCGAGACACGGCCACGTGGAGACCCTGAGGTTCCTCCATGAGAAGAAATGCCCCCTGGATGTGCAAGATAAGGTAGCAAAGCAGGTCCTTCCTCTCTGCACGTCTCACACTCACATGGAAAAACACACACTTACTACTACTCATCATCCTCTGTTATCTGTCAGCAATTACTCACTGCCTCCTGCCCACAAACCCCTCGAGAGGCATCACTTTGAAATGCCCAGAAACACACACACACACACACACACACACACACCTGTGGAGAAAACCAGTTACTCTGGCATTTTATCAGCTTATTTGCTGTTGCTATGGAAACAGGCCTTGCAGGGAGAGATGGGATTTGTGTGTGTGTGTGCGTCTGTGTGTGTGTGTGTGTGTGTGTGCTTTCGATGCTAGTGTGGCCTCCATCACAGAGCCTGGGCGTCCAAAATCCCAGAAGCGTTTTCCAGTCTCTCCGATCTTCACGAGGTGTCCTTTCCTGTCTGCGAACGCTGAGGCGGAGCCTAATCTGCGCCGCACGCGCTCTGCTGATTACTATCCAGCTCCCGTCCAGGCGTCGTTAAAGTTTCATCTTTCTTTATTACGCAATAAACCCCAAATCACAAGCCGAGGCGTTTGTGTGGGACTAGATAATTGGCTTGTGAGAACAGAGAAGCCGAAGGACCTCTCAG